GGGGGGGGGTCCCACGATGCTGGCTTTGTGAACTCCAACAATGCTGAGCGGTCTCTGAATCTGAAATGATTACCGTTGCCTACAGACTATGCTGTTAGCTATTTTATTCCCTGTTTTGGGGACTCCGTGACAGCGTTGACTGTCCACAGAAGAAATGAGCTCTCTCGGGAGGTTTTCACCACCCAGGTGAGATGACCCCACGGGGGTCCCTGCACTGGCTCAGCCCCGGGGCCTTTTCTCAGGGTGTGACTGAAGCCCCGTCCGTGGTCAGTGAGAGGGGAACACCTCACCAGTCCTCACGGGGCCCTGGCGGAGCTGGGAGGGGGGGGTCAGCGCAGCGCTGGGAGTTACCAGGGGTGCAGCTCCCCACTGTCAGCGGGGGAAGTGACGGCGGTCAGTCGCGGGGCCTTAGACTTTCCTGGAGACCCTTGCTGCCAGAGCTGCTTTGGCAGGAGGGTAAAAAGCTAGAGTAAGGAATAGGAAATTCGGGTACGAGGTCAGGTCAGAAATAGGAAATTCGGGTCAAGGAATTCGGGTATGAGGTTGGGTACACGCAGTGGAGCCGTGTGATAAGGGATCCAGAGAGTTCCAAGGCCCCCTGAGCCAGCGGTCACAAAGAGGCGGCCAGCTGCTGACCTGCACACGTGGCCTTTGAGGACAGAGTGCGGGCACCTTTGAAAACCGTGACCACTGGACTTAAACGCTCATCTCAGCCTCTTTGGGCCGCCTTGGACAGCCCTTCGTGTGGGGGTCGTGGGTGGTGAGGGGCACGTGTCTGCACCCCTTGGTCAGGGAGCCTGAGGCAGGCGGGCCAGGAAAACGACTCTGGGAGGAAGTGAGCTCAGACGGCGCCCTCCCGGGCCCCTGGTGGTGTGGACCAGCCTGTGCACGGCACTGGGATAAGGGCTTTCAGTTATGGGGCTCCGATTGGGCCCCCAGTGATGGTGGACCCTCAGGCCTTTTGGATGCTATGGGGTATCTGTCTAATACATTTTTTATTTTTTATTAAAAAAAATTTTTTTTAATGTTTATTTTTCAGAGAAAGCGAGCGAGCAGGGGAGGGGCAAAGAGAGAGGGACACAGAATCTGAAGCAGGTGCCAGGCTCTGAGCTGTCAGCACAGAGCCTGACACGGGGCTTGAACCCACGAACTGTGAGATCATGACCTGAGCTGAAGTCAGATGCTTAACTGACTGAGCCACCCAGGCGCCCCAATTTTTTATTTTTTTAATGTTTATTTTTGAGAGTGAGTGCCGGCTGGGGAGGGGCAGAGAGGGGGACAGAGGATTCCAAGCGGGCTCCGTGCTGTCAGCACAGACCCCAAGGCAGGGCTCAAACCTGTGAACCGAGAGATCGTGATCTGAGCCAAAGTCAGATGCTTAACCGGCTGAGCCACCCAGGTGCCCCTATTATTTATTTTTTTTTAAGTTTATTTATTTTGAGAGAGAGATCGAGTAGAGAAGGGGCAGAGAGAGGGAGAGACAAAGTCCCTCAGCGCAGAGCCCGACGCGGTGCTCGAACTCACAAACTGTGAGATCATGACTTGGGCCAAAATCGAGTCGGACGCTTAACTGATGGAGCCAGCCGGGTGCCCATCTAATGCATTTTTAACAATTACAAGGCAGATTTGCAAAATTTGCCACCATCAGTGATGGAAAGAGGAACTTCTGTGCGTGAGAAGTGTGTGGTGCTTTACCCTGGTAGAAATTGCTAATTGGCTCAGAAATAAATGATGTCGTCAGTTTTTAGATCCTTACGACGGCCAGTCTTCGGAAGATATCCCCAGCCATTCTGTCTACAGTCTCGGCACCCGTTGTCCGGGCGACGTGACCTGTATTGTGCCTTCACACGCACCGACGTCCAGGAGTCCAGGAGAGGTCCGCGTAGAAGATCCTCTCTCCTCAAAAATCCCAGACCGCCCCCTCAAAGCTGCCAGCCGGGGCCCCGCGTCCCCGGAGGCCGACGACGTGGACATGTGGCCTGTCGAGGCCAGCGGCCCTGAGGCGCCAGGGTGGCCAGCCGGGCCGTCCGGAGCCCCAGAGGACCGGAGAATGACGGAGGAGGGGTGGCCCAGGGCAGCCGGTCCCCTCCTCCCCGCCGCGGAGCCCTCCGAGCCCGGCAGACACATGCAGGGCAGGACCAGAGGGTCCCGGCCGCCTCCCAGACTTGGGAGTGAGAAGGACAAGGGGCCCAAGCTCATCCTCTTCAAGAGGAAACTGGAACTCTTACTTGCAGAGCCCGAGAAGAGGAAGAGGAAGAGGCAGTATGTGGCCTAGACCGAGGTGAGCGGAGTTGGCTCGGGAAGGAGGTGCCCGTTGGCCAAAGCCAACGCTGACGGACTTGTAGCAATGGAACGCTTGCCCTTTGTGTGTCTTAAACAGTGAACACCTGGGTGCCTACCTGTTTGCTCACAAATGGGTTTCCGGTGGAGGAAAGGTCCTGTGTGGCCCTCGTGGAACCCGCTTCCCGAGTCCGAGCATTTCTTGACTTTAACTAGATACTTATGCGTTGGTGAAACAGTTTTTTTAAAGAACCCGAATTCGTGGCACCTGCTGTTCTCCTCCCTGCTGGCGCATCTGCGGAGGGGGGTGGGGGACGGGGTGGACAGAGGAGGGGCTCTGGGGGTTGCGGACACAACAAGGTAAGAATATTTAGGCTAACACGCTGGTGGACGCTGGTGTGAACTGCCCACCCAGCACCTTGACCAGCTGCCTCCGGTGTCCCCATTTCCGTTCCTCTGTCACTGTGTTCACAAAGGGTTTTCTGAGCAGCTGGTTTTGGCTGTTGACACCGTCATGGTCTTGATGTGCTTTGTTAAATTTAATTTATAGATGTTTATTTTTGAGAGACTGGGGCAGAGAGAGGAGGAGACAGAATCCGGAGCAGGGTCCAGACTCTGAGCGGTCAGCACAGAGCCCGACGTGGGGCTCGAACCCACGAACTTTGAGATCGTGAC